ATGTTATTAGCATCTCTACTTTAGTTTGTTCTATGAATCAAGGCAATGAAGAGTCACCAAGAGCCTTTTCAGTGATGGGATGTCCCAATTGTGGAAATTCTTCCCAAAGGATGACTAGCTTTCAACCCCAGGAAAGATCTCCTGGATTTTTCGATACTGCTGTTCTTTAGTATTCTCTTGTTTTTTGAAGTCCATCTTTGTATACTTCAACCCAGTGGTTCCCAAACTTTGGTCTTCCAGATGTTTTAAACTTCAGCTTCCACAATTTCTTACTGCGTTAGCTAAGCTGGCTGTGGCTTTGGGGTGCTGAAATTCAAAACATCTGGATGACCAAAGTTTGGGATCACAGTTTCAAGTGAAAGGCAAAACCACTACTGACAGGCAATCTGTGCAACTATATGTGCATCCACCCATATTGGCACTTATTGAACCATGGCCGATGTCTATCATTATTGCACAGATATAAATGTTTAACTCTCCTTGTGTAAGGAGTCCATGCCTCAATTTATTATTTATTTATTTAAAACATTTTTATTCTGCCCTTCTCATCCTGCAGGGGGCTCAGGGCGGAGCACAACATATATATATGGCAAACATTCAATGCCAGGACATAAAACCATAAATATATGAAAACATTAAAATAACCTGTATCAATGGTTTACATTGGCCTTATTGTTAGCGACATTCATGCACTAGGGCCAGTGGATTTCAATGTTTGGTTTCATAGGATCCCTCACAATTGGCTATGCTGCAAATTTTGGAAGTTCAGGTCCAAAGACTGAACATGACTCAACCAAAGGCTTAGAAGAGTAACTCAAATGTGTTTATGTATAGTCCAATATATGATGTGAGGGGCCAGAAAGATCTATGAAAGAGATTCTCAACCCATAGGTCCCCAGGTGTTTTGGCCTAAAACTCCCAGAAATCCCAGCCAGTTTACCAGCTCTTAGGATTTCTGGGAGTTGAAGCCCAAAACATCTGGGGACACACGGGTTGAGAACTACTGATCTCTGATAAGTACCTATAGTATCTATAACAGCCATCCCCTGCTTTAGAACATCATCCAATATATGGAGTTTTGGATGAAGGCAGTGTTGGCCAATGGTTCCAATTTAAGTGGGGTTGCACATCCACTATGGTTTTAGTCTGAACTGTAAATAGATAAACACTGGGTGCTGAACTTTTCCACAATACATATTCAGTACTTGGAAAGCTGCTTTAAAGCTTGGACTAAACCATCAGCGAACAGTATTTTTAGGGGTGGAGCCACCAGGGGTGGGTTACTCTAATCTTCACCTTTCAAGTCAACACAGGGTCCACCCTTAAGGCTGGACTTTTAAGACAGGTATGTTTTCAGATGTATAGAAAATCCTGATACAAACTAAGATTCAGAGCATTTGGAAAGAGATAAGAATCTCTTCAATGGTAGGAATAATGCTGGGAACAGTGTGAACCCCTGGAAGATGCCTTATTTATCCATTTGTGACTGATGATTGCATGGTATGTTTTAGGTGCTATAGCAGATAAGCTATTTTTCAGTGGTGAATATCTTTCCTCTGATGCTCTTCCCTCTTATGTACTTCTTGTCTGCTTCGATAAGCCTTCATTAAACATTTGCCTCTTGTGAAAGGCATTGTTGGCCTTTCTGTTAATGAATTAAAACTAGGATCCCTTTAGCTTCCCTAACTCAGTGTCTTCCTTAATGTTAAGTCAGACAAAAGCAAGGATTGTGCAAAATATATGACCAAGGATAATGTATGCTATTTTCAACTTTTCAAATTTGTTTGTTTAATAATCCTTTCTTCTACCCTAGGAATTGAGGCATTTTTGCCCTGCCCTTCCCATCCCTATAAAAGTTTTCAGTTATGGAAAAGGACGTTGCTCTTGATACAATAAACAAAAATAACAAAAGTGAAGGAGACATTTTGTACAATATGAGCTTTATTTTGGCTTGTTAAGAGTAATTTTTCAAAAGCCCTGCCCTTTCCATACACAAAAAGGTTGAACCGTGTCAGCCACCTGATGTTAATGTTGATGTGAAATCTACTTGTTCTACTTTCAATAAAAAAAATAACCTGCAGAGTGGTTTTGAGCATGTAAGGGAGACTAATCGTGGCAACTACATCAAGGGGTCTGACATAATTTCTGGACAAAGTCTGCCATTCCCTCGAAGGAATAGTATGTGTGTATGCACCTTCAAGTTGCCTGCTGATTATGGTGACCCCATGCATTCCATAGGTGGTTTTGTCAGTTCCTTTCTCTGAAATATAGCCTATAGCACCTGGGATTCATTGGTGGTCTCTCACGCATTGGTGGTCTCTGACTCTACATTACTTCCAAGATCAGAGAAAATCTGACATCTTTAGGGTAAAACAGCAATGAAATATGTCATACACTACGTGATGAAAAGGACCTCAAACAAAGTGTTCCAAACAACAAACAATTAAATTAGGAACAAGCTAACATGGGATACAGCTTTACTCGGCTATGAATGCATGGAATTGTGCCAGTTCTGGATCTCTCCAGCAAGCATTGTGCTTTGGTGGGTAATAGGGGCGGTGCCTAAATGCATTTGATATATCTTGCAAACAATGCTGTGTGAAATGGATGAGCAGGATCAGCACAAGGGGCATAGAAGCCAATGCACAAAATGGAAGCTCCAAGAACCAACAGCTTTTCCTTATGAAGTACTTCCTGTGTTACCTCCTGATTGGTTGTCTATTTTGGTTCCTGGGGGTGGTGACATCTTGAACACTCATACCAATGGCAACTCCTGACAAAGAGACTCATTGCATGCTGGTACCATATATACAGATACATGTTCAAGGGGTTAATTTTAAATAAGACTCCTACTAATGCATGCAACTAGAACACAGCTCCAATGGATACTTTCCAACAGTGTGGCATTAACAAGCATTTTACTACAAATAGCAACCACCTTTACTCCCTTGCTCTCTCCCACATTCATACACCTGTTTATTGCACAAGAGCTGAACTTATGATGTCCACTATATCTGCAGGGGTTTGGTTTCAGGACTTGATATAGCAGTGGTTCCTAACATTTTTTTTGACCAGGGACCACTTTGACCAGGGACTACTCTCCAACATTAGTACCAAAAGGGTTACAAATCAAGTTTTGGTCAACTTTAGATTTGGTTTGGTTATTTGGGGTGCTGATTCAGAAAACATTGGACAGACCTCATCAGGTCTATTTTCTGATTCAGAACATATGCCATCTGCTCACCCACAGAAAACCATATTTAATAATCTGGAGCTGATGTGGTCGTAGTAATATTTCATGGGTAGTTAGCCTCTCCCTTCCCAACATCTCTGTTGTCTCGGCACTATGAGGGTTTCGCAGCAACAGTTCTTGCGGCTCACTGGTGGTCCACGGACCACAGGTTGGTAACCACTGTGATATAGATATGAAAAAAATGTGGATGATAATGCTTCATATTATTAAATGGTGGTGAAATGTGTCTGCATTCATGCTCCCAACAGTTATTAATGTAGGATGTTATGCGATTGCTGGAAATTGCAGATCCTGTGGAACTAGAGGGGCCGCTATCTATATGGCAAACAAGGCCAAATCCCTCTTCATAGTGATGCAGTGCTGAAAAGATAGCCGACTGCAGCTATTAACAATGTATTTTACTGTGATAACTGATATAGTGAGATGAGCATTGGACTGGATGCTGAAGACCAGTGTTTTAATTGCTCCTCAGCCATGAAAACCTATTGGATGACTTTGGACAAGTCACATGCTCACTTTCAGATGAAGGCAAAGGCAAACTTCCTCTGAGCAAATCTTGCCCCCAAAACCCTGTGATGGGTTCGACATAGAGTCACCATGTGCTTATTAGGAAGCAGAGTCCCATTGAGTTCTGTGGGACCCAAGCTGGCTTGCACGTGCATATTTATCCCTTGATGGCTGCAATCAAAATGATCATTGAAACTGAAATGATTGGTGTGGTTGTCACAAAAAGAAACTCACACAAAATCAATGCTTTTTAAAGGTTCAGACCTGCACAATGGTCAGTTATCATGTGGAGAAGCTGAATGAAATACGGGCATGAATGAACTCGGCTTTACTTCTAATTGTGTCAACTGAAATTTTAGTACAGTATGATAACACACACAAGGGAATGAATGAGTGCACAGCAGTTTGCACATTTGGGCTGCAAGGCTTGGTGTATTCATATGAAAGTCAGTTCCACTGAACCCAGTAGGCCAATTAAACATGAACAGCCCTGAGCTCTGAGAATTAGATAGATAGATAGATGGATAGAAAAGTCCCTTATACATCTTCATATAAAATCCAGATTTTCTGCTTTGAACTGGATTATAGGGCAGTGAAGACTCATATAATCCAATTCTAAGCAGATAATGTGGATTATCTGCTTTGAAAATCTAGATTATATGGCAGTTTAGAAGGGGCAATAGATAGATAGACAGATAGATAGAGATAGAAAGAGGGGGGGGGGAGCGAGGGAGGGAGGGACAACATGGATAAAGCCAAATAATTCCCATTCTTAGTACAATTTAGACATCAATCTAAATTTAAGATATGAATATACCTGACCCTTCCACACTACATAATTATAGCATTGTGATTCTACGTTGTTGCCATGTCTGTATTCTGTAGAATCATGGGATTTGTAATATGGTGTGATACCAGAGCTCTCTTGAGAGAAAAGTATAAATATTCTTCCCTAAATTGCATATTCCAAAACATCACCGAATGTTGCTACAGTGGCTAAAGTTGAATCATAGTGCTATAAAAGTGAAAGGATCCAGAAGTCCTATCCCAGAGTAGATTCAACTATTTCTCTAAATCTTGTTGTTAGTCCTGACTAAAGCAGACCCATTGAATTGATGGGGTTTGCCTACATGTTGACTCACCATTCAATTGAATGGGTCTACTCGAGCTGACCGGATACCAGCCACTATGTGTTGACAACAGTCCCAATCCAGCAGACACACGATGACAGAGCTCTTACCAGATGTGCAGGCAGCTGAGCACGGCAAAGAGAAGTCCTGCCACCAGGGCCAAGGGGACCGCGAGGACAAGGGTCAGGAGCTTGTAGATCAAGTACTTGCTCAGCTCAAAGAGAGCATGGCTGCAGATCCAAATGCGATCAAAGGAGTGAGTGGAGGCAGGCTCTGCGATGACATCCTCAAATCCCAGCTGGAATGAAAATACAGGAAGGGTTATTAGCAACACACACAGTCTCTGATCTGAAATGTAAATACTGGTCAGTTATAAAAGGGGTAGCGGGGAAGTGGATGGCTGGAGGGTCAGGGAGTTAAATTGTTGCTTCTGTTTCCTCAGCTGAGGCCCCTTCCACATAGCAGAATAAAATCTCACATTATTTGCTTTGAACTGGAATATATGGCAGTGTGGATTCAGATAACCCAGTTCAAAGCAGATATTGTGAAATTTTCTGCCTTGATATTCTGGGATATAGGGCTGTATGGAAGGACCCTGAAAGAAAGCATCTTCACATCAATTAGATACCACATTGGTACTCAAATATCTCTCTTTGAGTAGCAAAAATACAGTACTCCCCACACCCCAATGCACGACCACCTATAATACTGGCTAACACATATTTTGGTGTCTCAAATGTTAGACCTGTTTCCGGGGGGCCCTTCCACACAGCCCTATATCCCAGAATATAAAGGCAGAAAATCCTACAATATCTCCTTTGAACTGAGTTATCTGAGTCCACACTCAAATAATGTGGGATTTTCCGCCTTGATATTCTGGGATATAAGGTTAGGGTTATTGTTTGAGTCCACAGTGCTCTCTGGATATAGGTGAACTACAACTCCAGAACTCAAGGTCGATGCCCACCAAACCCTTCCAGTATTTCCTGTTAGTCATGGGAGTTCTGTGTGCCAAGTTTGGCTCAATTCTATCATTGGTGGAGTTCAGAATGCTCTTTGGTTGTAGGTTAACTATAAACCCCATCAACTACAACTCCCAAATGACAAAATCAATCCCCTGCAATCCCTTTGGCTGTATCAGATATTTGTGCTAAATGTAGTCCAGTGAATGAAAATACATCCTGCATATCAGGCATTTATATTATGATTCATAACAGTAGCAAAATTACAGTTATGAAGTAGCAACAAAAATAATTTTGGGGGTTGGGGGTCACCACAACATGAGGAACCGCTGCTTAAGATGCACACTATGCGTCCAAATCATTCGCTGGATTACATTATTGGGGGCACTCTTTGGCAGAGAGAGCTAAAGACCTTGTAGAACTACAGATCCATGTATTCCATAGCCTTGAGCTATGGCAGTAAAGTGGTGTTACCGGCTGTTAGGAATTGTGGGAGTTGAAGTCCAAAACATCTGGAGGGCCGAAGTTTGCTCATGCCTGCTATATACAATATGACCGCCCCTCATGCAATAGCCTTGAGCCATGGCTGTTCAAGTGGGGTCAAACTGTATTAATTCAGTGTTTCTCAATCTGGAGGTTGGGACTTATGGGAGGTCGCGAGGGGGTGTCAGAGGGGTCTCCAAAGACTATCAGAAAACACAGTATTTTCTGTTGGTCATGGCAGTTCTGTGTGGGAAGTTTGGCCCAATTCTATCGTTGGGGTTCAGAAAGCTCTTTGATTGTAGCTGAACTATAAATCCCAGCAACTACAACTCCTAAATGTCAAGGTCTAATTTCCCTCAAACTCCAACAGTGTTCACATTTGCGTATATCGAGTATTTGTACCAAGTTTGGTTCAGATCCCTCATTGTTTGAGTCCACAGTGCTCTCTGGGTGTAGGTGAACTACAACTCCAAAAGTCATGGTCAATGCCCACCAAACCCTTCCAGTATTTCCTGTTGGTCATGCAGGTTCTGTGTGCCAAGTTTGGCCCAATTCTATTGTTGGTGGAGTTCAGAATGCTCTTTGATTGTAGGTGAACTATAAATCCCAGCATCTGTTAACTATAAATCCCAGCAACTGGCTGTTAGGAATTATGGGAGGTGAAGTCCAAAACACCTGGAGGGCCAAAGTTTGCCCATGCCTGCTATGTACAGTATGACTTCCCACCCCCAATGCAATAGCCTTGAGCTAGAGCTGTTCAAGTGGGATCAAACTGCATTAATTCAGCACTTTAGAAGCATTGGAGCCCCTGTGAAAGAAGGACGAGGCCAAGAAGTGGAATTGGAGTATCTTAGATGCCAAGAGAGGCAGCATGCTATAGAGCAGCAGGTTGGTGTAGTGGTTTGAGCGTTGGCCTCTGAATCGAGCCACCAGGGTTCGAATCCCTCTCAAGTCAAAACAAGAAAGATGCCAGCGAGTGCTTATAGAAGAGAAAATGGCCTTAAATGGAAGATTATAAGCCGCAAAGACCCAGAAGTTGGGAAAGAAGCAGCACGCCTGCGCCGGCAGCAGGTGGAGAGAGGAGGAAGGGTGAATGGCTTACTTACCTTGAGGTGCGAGTTGAGCCCGCGTGGGTCCCTGTCGGGGGCTTTCTCGGAGTTCTTCTCCGACTCGGACAACGCCGGGCTGCCGCTCCGGTGGAAGTCGTCCTCGTCCATGAAGATCTTGGTGTCCGCTTTCTCCTTCTCCAGCCCCATGGTCGGCGAATGGTCCTTTGGGCCGGGGAGATGATGCCCTTCCCCGCTTCAGCCCTTCCCCGCGGCCTCCTTCCCTGCACCCTCCCTGCCTGCCTGCCTGCTTCTCTCTCTCTCTCCGCAGGAGCCTCCTCGACCGCGCCCCGGAGCGCCAGCCAGAGCGGTAGACCGGGGCGAAACTCGCCGCTGTGCCCGCCTGGCTGCCGCGCATGCGCCGGAGAAAGAGCCTTTGGGACAAGAGCCTTTGGGACAACTACTACCCCCAAGAGTGTGAGAACCGTTTCCACTGGCAGGTGGTTCCAAAGGATGCCTGTTTCAAGCAAAAGTCATGGCATTGAGCAAGGGAAACTAGCAAAGGAGTTGTAAAACTCCAACTCTCATAAATAATAATAATAATAATAATAATAATAATAATAATAATAATAATAATTTATTTCATACCTGCCTCTGAACTGCCATGGGATCCAGAGAGTTGTAGTTTGGTAAGGTAACTCTTTGGCAGAGACTGCTACATTCGTTGTAAAACTCCAACTCTAATAATCTTCTATATCAGTGTTTCTCAACCTTCCAAATGCTGCGACCCTTTAATACAGTTCCTCGTGCTTAATACAGTTCCTCGTGCCAACCATAGAATTATTTTCGTTGCTACTGCTGGGATTGATTTTGACATTTGGGATTTATAGTTCACCTACAATCAAAGAGCATTCTTAACTCCACTAATGATGGAATTGAACCAAACCTGGCACACAGAACTCCCATGACCGACAGAAAATACTGGAAGGGTTTGGTGGGAATTGTCCTTGAGTTTGGGAATTGTAGAGATCACTGTGGACTGAAACAATGATGGATCTGGACCAAACTATGCCCACATGCCAACACTGGTGAAATTTGGGGAAAATAGACTTGATATGTGGGAGTTGTAGTTGCTGGGACTTATAGTTCACATACAATCAAAGAGCATCCTGAACTCCACTAACAATGGAATTGAACCAAACTTGGCACATAGAGCTCCCATGCCCAACATAAAATACTGGAAGGGCTTAGTGGACATTGACCTTGAGTTTGGGAGTTGTAGTTCACCTACATCCAGAGAGCACTGTGGAATCAAGCAATTATGAATCTGGACCAAATTTGGCACAGACACTCAATATGCCCAAATGTGAACACTGGTAGAGTTTGGGGAAAATAGAATCTTGGGAGTTGTAGTTGCTGGGATTTATAGTTCACCTACAATCAAAGAGCACTCTGAACTCCACCAAGGATAGAATTGAACCAGACTTTCCACACAGAGACCCCCATGACCAACAGAAAATACTGTGTTTTCTGATGGTCTTCGGCAACCCCTCTGACACCCCCTCGCGACCTCCCCAGGGGTCCCGACCCCCAGGTTGAGAAACACTGTTTTATATAAATAAAAATGTAATGTTCGTTTGTGGGATTAACATAACTCAAAAACCACTGGATGAATTGACACCAAATTTGAACACAACACAATCACTCATAAAACCACTGAAAAATGCGGTGGAAAAGACTTATAAAGCCAAAAATTTGAAAAAAAATACATTAAAATGCATGCACAAAACCACACACCCACACTCACAAACACATATATACACATATACACAAATACACACACACACACACATATATATATACACAAAACACATATACACAGACTGGGCCACAGCAACGCATGGCAGGGGACGGCTAATAATAATAATAATAATAATAATAATAATAATAATAATAATAATAATAAGTTTGGGAAAGGCATGCGACAGGGTTGTATACGCTCACCCAACCTATTCAACTTGTATTCAGAACACATCATGCGATGTACGGGGCTTGATGAATGCAATGCTGGGGTTAAAATTGCTGGAAGAAACATTAATAACCTTAAATATGTAGATGATACCACTTTGTTGGCCGAAAGCGAGGAGGAGCTGAGGAGCCTTCTAATCAAGGTGAAAGAAGAAAGTGCAAAAGCCGGGTTGCAGTTAAACACAAAAAACCCCCAAGATTATGGCAACCAGACTGATTGATAACTGGCAAATAGAGGGAGAAAATGAGGAGGCAGTGACAGACTTTGTATTTCTAGGTGCAAAGATTACTGCAGATGCAGACTGTAGCCAGAAAATCAGAAGACACTTACTTCTTGGGAGGAGAGCAATGACCAATCTTGATAAAATAGTGAAGACTAGAGACATCACACTGGCAACTAAGATCCGCATAGTTAAAGCAATGGTATTCCCCGTAGTCACCTACGGATATGAGAGCTGGACCATAGGGAAGGCTGAGCGAAGGAAGATGGATGCTTTTGAACTGTGTAGTTGGAGCAAAGTTCTGAGAGTACCTTTGACCGCGAGAAGATCCAGTTACTCCATACTTCAGGAAATAAAGCTCAGCTGCTCATTGGAGGGAAGGATATTAGAGACAAAGTTGAAATACTTTGGCCACATCATGAGGAGACAGGAAAGCTTAGAGAAGACAATGATACTGGGGAAAATGGAAGGAAAAAGGAAGAGGGATCGACCAAGGGCAAGATGGATGGATGGCATCTTTGAAGTGACTGGCTTGACTTTGAAGGAGCTGGGGGTGGTGACGGCCAACAGGGAGCTCTGGTGTGGGATGGTCCATGAGGTCACAAAGAGTTGGAAGTGATGAAACGAATGAACAACAACAACAATAATAATCCCAGGCAACAGCAATTCCAGGCGACAGCAGGATTGAAGAGAAACAACTGGAAAAGCTGACATGATGTGAGGATTTAAAGATCGAACTGCAAAGACTCTGACACAAGCCAGTCAAGGTGGTCCCAGTGGTGATTACCATCTGCCAGCTGCAAAAGGCCACCTTACTGGGACCTGCACGCATTATTTGCTGATACATCACACAGTCTTAGACACTTGGGAAGTGCCCAACATGTGATCCAATATAACAGCCAGCAGAGTGATCTTGTTTGCTGTGGATTCATCTTGTTGTGTTTCAAGTAGTAGTAGTAGTAGTAGTAGTAGTAGTAGTAGTAGTTATTATTATTATTATTTTGTACCTGTCTCTGAACTGCCATGACTCAATACTATGGGATCTTGGGAACTGTAGTTTAGTGAGGCACCTGCACTCTTTGGCAGAGAAGGCTATAGTCATAAAACTTCAGCTCCCATAGTAATAATAATAATAATAATAATAATAATAATAATAATAATAATACTTTTATTTCTTACCTGCCCCTCCGTGTGGCTCAAATTGGGTTGCACAGTGCACAAAACATGTAAACATTGCAAAAACATGTAAACATTGCAAAAATTTTATAAACATCAAAATGTAGTTCTATAAAAGATACTGCAAAGCCGCGTCCCCACCGCTCGTTACTACAATTCGAAGCCGTTCACTTGCTGCCACCAAAATATGTGAAGTAGTCTCCAAAAATAAAATAATGGCGTGAAATCCCAACTAAATAGGATCACCACACAAATGTAATGAGAATTTGAGACTTCTAGGTTAAGCTGCCACCCTAATATAAAGAGATATTGGTAATATAATCTCTGTTTCTTCTTATCTGGGTTGTGAGGCCACTTTGGTAGTGTGGATTGTGCAAAACGTTGAAATCAATGGATGAGGCAGGTTTTAAAACACAAAGAGAACAGATTTATTGTCGGAGCGTAACTGTTGCAATATTAACTGTTGAACTTGGCACAAGCTTGATGGTTGGTTACAAATATGGCTTAGTTGAGATACATTCAGGTGATGTTACAATTCTTTGACTTCTTCTACAATGAGGTGCTTTAATATTTCAGTTCCCTATTGTGAATATTTACAACTGTTTGTCCTACACGGGATCAAACTAGCGATCTCCAGCCATTCACCACTGGGATCCCTAAACCTCTTTCTTGTTAGATTCTTTCTTTACTCAAGCAATCTAACGAGGTTTCACCTCCAGCTTCCTAGCTGGAATAATATTCACAAATCCTAAGAACAGGCTGAATTTACACTACACCACAGAGCCTCAACTGACTCTGCCCCTCAGGGTTTCATTCCCCTGACTGAACTATTATCCCAGAGTCCCCTTTGACTCTGTCCTTCAGGGTCTCATCCGCCTGACTGATTTTAAACTGTCGTTTTCAAACCTTTCCTACTTAAGCTCCGCCCACCTCCTCTGGCCTATCACCATGGCAACCTATCTCTCTCAGCTAGGTCATGGCTACAATGTAAAGCATAAACACAGTTTAAAACACAGTATAAATAACACTTCTCTACAGATACATATTACAACATTATTTCTATAAAATACATATGAAATACACTTCCATGATTCCAAAGCACTGACCCATAGTAGTTAAAGTAGTGTCAAACTGCATTTGTTGGACAATATAAATGCTTCCCAACTCAGGTTGCCTTGTATCCAAAACCAGCCAAGTCTTGTAAGTCAGGACATTTTTCAAGCCCCTCTCTTCATCCCTGGAAATAGAAATGTAAGAATAACCAACAGGAAACTCAGCTTTGTTTTTAAAGTGAAGATGCGAACATTGGCAGTGGAGTTTTGTATACTCACATGTCATTGCAAGAAAACAATGAACTTACTTTCTCCTTTCCACTATACAATTTAAACAGCAAAAGCAATGGAAGCCCCTAAAGCCTGCCCTCGGCATATACACGAAGTCAACATTATATATGAGTATCAGCGTTATATATGAATATCATGGCTGGACCTGCAGAAATTCTTTTCAAATTTCAAAATCATGGAAGTGCAGGAAGGTAACATTACAATTCAATTGCATCAATAGAAAGAAGTGTGATAACAAAGGTGCTCATGCCGGTATGATTGGATGACTGCCATGCAATAACAGCTTTGTGCATTAAAGTCCTAAAAGTCCCAATACGTTGACATTGGTGAAGGTTTATGGGAATAGTATGTAGCAGAATGAACATCATGGATAGTTCACGTCTTTACCAATCCACACACTGTCTTGCTAGAGAAAAGATATGTCACACAGATGAATAAGGCGTTTACTCTGTTATGCAGAGCATGTGAACAGTTTTGACTCACACAATGTCCTTTGAGAGATTCAAATGTTCATTGGGTGTCCATGTGAAGGATCTTCTTCCCGTAGCTCAGAAGCAGAAAATATATGCTGACTTGTTTTGGCAAGCTCCCACACAGAAAAATCTAAACATGTAACTGTTGCCAAAACTCCC